GGGCATATTTCAATTTGCATACCTTATGCTTGCATGTTTGCATCATTCATTTGTCTTCCATGCATCGGGCTCGACGCATCATTCAAACTGCATTGTATTTTCAATACTTATTTGAATATGTGTTTCAAAGCATGTTATCAAGTGTTGCATTCATATGCCATCTTAGGTAGCCGAGCCTATTTAGTTGCATTTTTGCATGTGTTGCATTAGGCATCTTGTATAGTTAGGATCATGCATTGTTTTTAACTAGCTTTTGTTTTGGCTTGGCGTACACTGTAAGTTTTACGCTTTAGCATACTTGCATGAGTGTGAGTGTTGCCATGTTTAGCATGTTTTCCATGAAGATATGTGCTTAAATGATTAACTGTATGAATGCCTGTGGATGGAGGCTTTGTTGCTTGAATTGGGACAATTCATCAAATGTGAGTTTTAAGTCTACTTTGTGAAGTGGCAAATCATCATGTTTTAAGCCCACTTGAGGGTGGCAAATCTGCACTTTAGCCCACTTGCGAGTGGCACTTTCAAACTATTTTCAAAAACAAACATGAGTTGATTTGTTCCAAATCTTGCGACTTAGTCTATACTTGTATGTTGTGTGCATCACGTAGTAAAATTAGCTAATAACCAGAACAAGAACATATGTGTTTATAAAACAACATATCATGCTTAGTAGAGGCCGATCTTTTGATTGGGTGAGCGAGAGTGCTCATTTCAGGACCTTCCCATCTCGTACCCAAGTTCCCGAGCCGAGGGAACTTTGGTAATGATGGACATGTGACTTTAGGCACAAGTCAGGGTTTCCTAAATTTTTCAAAAATAAAATATTTAGGTGGCGACTCTATAATCTGGCAAAGCAGCCCATGTTTGGCGCTTTTTGATTCAAAATTGATTTTCCAAAACCAATTGCCAGATTTGGACTCTTTGGTATTTATCAGTCTCAAATTGCACTTTGTGAGATTAGAATCAAAATCGTGACAGGAGTCCAAACTGTAGAACCAATTCGCGCCTCTCCGAAAGGGGGGCACGCGAAGAAAGTCTAGTCCACACTATGGTTTTGAATCTGGTTTCAAAAGTGCAATGTGAAATGGATTAAACAAATGATAGTCCAAATCCGACAAATTTTAGAAAATCCATTTTATCATCAAAGATGCCAGAAATGTACTACATTGCCAAATTTCAGAGTCGCCACCTAAATATTTTTGAGAAATTTAGAAAATCCATGACTCATGCTAAAGGCTACTTGTCCGTCATCACCAAAGTGTCTTGGCTTGGGAACTTAGATATGAGAGGGGAAGGTCATGAATTGAGCGCCCCACTCACCCGATCAAAGATCGGCCTCTACTAATCATGATATGATTCTTATCAATATTAAATGCTCTTATTTCGATTTATTAATGCTAACTTACTATGTGAGACACACAAATAGCCTTAATAAATCGAAAAGAATGCTTTGATTTTATGTTTGTTTTGAAAAGAATTTTGAATATGTTACTTGAAAAGTAAGCTCATATTTACATTAATCAAATCATCCCAATTTAAGCAAAATAGCCATCTTCCACAGGCATTTAAATAGGTATATCAAATAAGCACTTAGCCTCATGGTAATATGCTTGATATGACAACATTAACATTCATGCACTATGCTAAACCAAGAAATACTCACCTAGTACTCAACCGAGGCGAGCTAAAATAGAAGAAATGGTTAGAAAAATGCATGCTCTAATATGAAAATGACTAATGCAATACATACAAAACGCAACTACTAGGTTCAGTTATTAACATGGCATATGGCTCAACTCAAAGCATGTGTTTAGCGCATGTATTCAATTAAGTAGGAAGTAACAATAAGGTTAGAATGATGAACCGAACCCAATGCATGCAAAAATGATGCAAGTCATGGTAATGATATTAAAATGTAAAACATGATGCTATATGTAACCATTGTAAGCAAGTAAATAAAAGGGAAAAAAGAATGGGGGTTGGAAGATATACACAATATTACAAGTTTGCCCTCATACAAGAGGGTCCGAATGTTCGGATTAAACTAATTATTACAACACCAAATAAATGAATAAGCTAAATTAACTAATTATTACAAATTCAAATAAATCTAATTAATTAATTCCAATGTACTAAAAATTAAAGTACTAAATTAATGGAGCGGGAAACGAGGAGGCGCACGCATACGAATAAGAACGTCCTCTCGAAAACCTCTTTGTTTCCTGCTAGTTTCTGTTTTATTTTGCAATCAGAAAATTAATCTGTTTTTGCCTCAACTTTTGCTCTGTTCTACCATGAAAATGACATTGCTTGCACAAAATACGGTGGCCGGCCGACCATTGTTTTTGGGTACTGCCTTGTTGCCATAGAAATGAAACAGAGCAACAATAGAGTATTTCCAGGAGATGTTTGTTCTTTCTACCTCTCCCTATCATGAAATTGATCAAGGGAGGAGTAGACTCGATTCGCAAACCATCAATTATTGCAAACTTGTTGCGTGATGATCTATGAATCGATGGGACAAATGCTCAATAAATGGATATTAAAGACCAACAAAACCATCTCCCTATCATGGAGTTACCTTAAAGGAAATGGTAGACATTGCTTCTCGAATCATTAACATCACTAAAGAGTATGTAATGACTCGAGACGTAATAGGTTCAATATAACGTCCAATTGAACCCAAACCAATTTTGTTACTCTTGTTTACCACTTTTAGTCCAATTTTAACATCTTTTACATTACCTTTCCATTCTTTATTAATTTTTGTCCAAAAGTGATAATTACGTCCACTAATGAAGAGAAGTATCAAACAAGAAGTTGTGCTTAGCATGAGAGAGATGTTATGCCTGGGTAATGAACCTCCGAAAAGGTTGAACCATTAAGCATGGAAGTCTCTTTCTCATGCCTTAAACAACAATCAATTGTTTGAAACGACTCTTAAACAAAGAAAACCAAGAAAGGAGGGAGGTTTCAGAGATGATTATTACAAGTGTGAGTATATGTATGAAAATTATGGAATAAGAGCTATCAACTCAAATAGATTGGTGTCTAAGGCCTAAACCACCAAATCTATGAGAACTTACAACAATACAAACATAATATTCAAATCATAATAAGTAAACAACTGAAACAGCCCCAAAAACTTAAAAAATAGTGTTGGAAATTAGTTTGAAAAGTTAGAAAAAAAACAAGTAAAAGAAGAGGAGAACAAAGCTAATAAGCAAGCCTAAGGAAGGGTGGCTAACCCCTCCACTTTTTGGACCTTAAAATCACATGTTTGAGCCTCTGAAAACTCTAAAAATCAGTAGGCAAAAGTTGAGAAACAAGTGAGAAACACAAGGGTATAAGCTATGGAATAAGGTTCAAGGAAGAGTGGTTAACCCTTCCACCTTTGGTAGCTGTTCAATCACAAGTTTCAGCTCACAAAAACAGTCCAAAACAGAGTATAAACACCAAGAAAAAGAGGAGAGGAAAGTAGTTTAAACAAAGAAAAAGATATACCTTTGAAGAGAAGATACTCTTTGGTTCACAAACCACAGAGTGTTCACCCTCAAGAATTGAAATTTTGGCTCAACAATCTCAACAAGAAGCCTTAAATTTTTTGTTTTGGAAGTGTATGTATATTGCAAGAGAGAGAGAGAGAGAGAGAGAGAGTGTGTGTGTGTGTGTGTGTGTGTGTGTGTTTGACAAGTTTTGGGCTCTTGGCAAATTTTTCTAACCTAAAATCAAGAGGGATGGTCATTTATTTATAGAAAAATAGATTCCTTTTTCGGAAATATCAGTATTGAGCTAGCTGGTGCAAGACATGCACATGGGGAGGACAACTGGTAGCAAATATCTTTTTGCCGCTGCACCTGGCTGACTGGCCAAGAAATGGGGACGACCGGCTAATAAAATTGGCCTACTGGCCACCTTTTGGCCAGCAGGCCTTTGAGTGGTCACGTTAGAAAAAAATTAGGTTTGGGTTTAAAGGGGGTGCAAGGTTTGGACTTTGAGGTTGGAAAACCGAAGCTGTTTGGTTTCAACGCCAACCCCGAGTATCCCTTGGGCAAGATCACACTACCAGTATGGGTCGGTACCAAATCAGTTAATGTGAAATTTTTGGTCGTCAAACTCCCGTCACCATACAATCTTATCATGGGAAGGACCTGGTTGCACACTATGCAGGCTGTGCCAAGCACCTACCATCAACTAACTAGAAGTGAACTCGATTGAAGTACCGGATCGAGAGAACCTCAAGGACATTGGGAAAATCCCTAGCGAAAAAGCAACTGAAGACCTTGATCGGATCGAAATCAATGGAAACCCTGACAAATTCTTCATGATCGGCACTTCCCTGAACGAAGTTGATAAACACGAGCTGGTTTCCTTCTTACTCGGCAACCTCGACCTGCTGCATGGACACCATACAAAATGACAGGGGTAGATCTAGTCGTGGTCCAGCACCATTTAAACGTCGATCCAAAAGTCAAACCAGTCATTCAGAAAAGTTGGCGGTCAGCCGCGGAGCATGCATTTGCCGGTCTTGATGAAGTTGACAGGTTGCTTGATGTCAGGGTAATTTGTGAAGTAACTTATCCTGCGTGGTTGTCCAATACCGTGGTTGTAATGAAGAAAAATGGATCTTGGTGCATTTGTATAGATTTCACTAATTCGAACAGGGGCTGTCCAAAGGATTGTTTTCCGCTTCCTAGAATCGACCAACTTGTGGACGCAATGGCATATCATCAGCGCCTGAGCTTCTTGGATGCCTATAGAGGTTATCACCAAATTGCCATGCATTCGGAGGATCAGGAAAAGACTGTATTCCTCACCCTAAGGGGAACCTATTGCTACAAAGTCATACCCTTCGGACTGAAGAATGCGAGGGCAACTTACCAGAGGTTGGTTACCACTATGTTTAAGGAACAACTCGGCCGCACCATGGAAGTATACATCGATGACATGGTGGTGAAATCCAAGGAAAAGCATGCCCATCTAGCTGATTTAGCAGAGACCTTTAGCATTCTCCGAAAGTACAAGATGAAGCTGAACGCCTCGAAATGTGCATTCGGCATCAGATTTGGCAAGTTTCTCAGCTATATTGTCAACCATCGCAGAATAGAGGCCAACCCGAGGTAGATCACAGCAATTCTAGAACTCCGATCCCCTCAGCCAGTCAAAGAAGTTCAGAAGTTGATGGGAATGGCCATCACCCTCAATAGGTTTATCAGTCGTTCCTCAGATCACTGCCGACAATTTTTTCACACACTTCAGCAAGGCAAAGTATTTGAATGGACCCTCGAGTGTGAGGCTGCGTTGGATGGATTGAAAACTTATCTCCATTTAATACCACTCTTGGCAACCCCATTGCCAAGCGATCTGCTCATCTTGTATCTAGCGATATCCGACCGGGCGGTCAGTGCCATGTTACCAAAGGAAGAACTTGAGGAGCAGCGACAAATTTACTATGTAAGCAAGGCAATGGTCGACGACAAAACATGATCCCTACCGTGGGAAAAGCTTATCCTTACTCTTGGGGTGTCTTCAAGAAAGTTGATGCACTATTTTCAGGCTCATACCATAGGGGTATTAATGGACTATCCTCTCTGATTAGCACTCCGTAGCGCGGAACCATCGGGGCGAGTCTCTAAATGGGCTTTGGAACTCTGCCAGTATGATATCCAGTTTTTTCCCAAAACGACCATCAAGGGGTAGGTGCTCGCTGACTTTGTAGCCGAGTTTACGAGACGCCATGCCGACTTCAAGTCTGTTCAAGTCCACCTTCAACCTAAACCTGACCAGCGAATGTACGTTGGAGACATTTGGCAAATGTACTGTGATGGGTCATCTAACCAACGCAACAGCGGGGCAGACGTAGTAATCATGACCCCTGAAGGGGTAATAATCGAGCAGGCAGTCAAATTGGGTTTCGATGCATCAAATAACGAGGCCGAATATGAAGCATTGCTAACCGGCCTTCGTAACGCACTTCATCTTGGTGCATGACAGTTACATGTTTTCTGTGACTCGAAGTTAGTTATCAACCAGTTAAAAAGGGAATATGAAGCTAAAAATGACCGCATGGAAGCCTACATGTAAGCGGCAAATTCCTTGCTCACGAAATTCGACCACCACGAGTTGAATCAGATAACCCAGGATTAGAACACGCATGCGGATGCCCTTGCTTGCCTAGCTTCTGCCATTAACTCAGAAGTCAAACGAACAATTGAAGTAGGGTTTATCCCAGAGCTGAGCATCACTTCTTCTGAACCAGTTCGGATTAACATCATTAAGCTAGGACTGATTTAGATGGACCTTATCGCTGCATTTCTTTCCTCAGAATAGCTTCCAACAGATAAGAAAGAAGCCCACAAGTTGTGAAATAAAGCCCTACGATATTAATCTAGATCCGCAGGGAAAGTTTTACAAAAAATCTCTCTCTGGGCCGTATCTGGAATGTGTTCATCCAGACAAAGTTGAGGAATTCTTGGCCAAAATACATGAAAGTAGCTGCAGTGCCCACTCTAGAGGACACTCATTGGCCCACTGAGCCGTAATGCAGGGATATTATTGGCCGACCATGTGAACAGATGCTGAGAACTACATAAAGAAATGCGAACAATGCCAAAAGTTTTCCCCATTAACTCATCTGCCAATTGAAGAATTAAATTCTATTACTAGTCCTTGGCCATTCACTCAATGGGGACTTGATATCGTTGGACCATTACCACGAGCTCCGGATAACAAGTGATTCCTGATCGTCGCAACTGACTATTTTATAAAGTGGGTCGATGCAGAGGCATTAACACATATTCAAGATATCGATGTTAAACACTTTGTATGGAAAAACATTATAACTCGATTCGGCATACTGAGAGCGCTTGTATCCAACAACGGCACCCAATTTAATTGTGGCATCTATCAGGGAGTTATGCAATACATACAGTATCCGACCCTACTTTTCCTCGCTAGTATACCCACAAAGCAACAGTCAGGCTGAGGCCTCCAATAAAGTGATCTTGGACAGCATCAAGAAACGATTGGAAAAGGCCAAAGACAGGTGGGCTGAAGAGTTGCCTAGTGCATTGTGGGCTCATCGCACCACTCCGAGGCGGTCTACTAGAGAAACGCCGTTTGCTTTGTGCTTTGGGACATAAGCTATTATCCCTCTTGAAATCGGCCTGCCTACATTGAAATCCAAGGTTTTTGACATGGGGCATAATGACGTAATGTTGGCCTTAGATCTAACTTTGATTGAAGAAGGCCGAGATCGTGCTCTTGCATGCATGGCGCGATATCAGCAGTAGCTCGCCAAGTAGTATAACTAGCATGTGCAGTTGCGTCATTATACACCTGGAGAATTGGTCCTCAAGAAAGTGCTTCCTGCTACTAAGAATCCGGTGAACGGTAAATTAGGCCGCAATTGGGACGGTCCTTATTAGATTGATTCGATTGTCAGAACGGGGGCGTATCGGCTTTCAGACATGGTCGACAGAAGTTTGCCACGCCCCTGGAATTCGACCTATTTGCGTAAATTTTATTATTAAGCCAACTCGTACGACATATTAGTTCGTTTTTTTATTTTTGCTACTATACTAACATGTATACATCTACGTATTCCACCATGCAGTATGCCTTTTTTATCATTGTCTCGTTAAAAGTGGTTGAATGATGAAAAAGTCTCCGAATTTGGAACGCCATTCGTGGATATCACGATTGGCCAAAAATATGACTTCAGATTTGGAGCGCCCTTCGTACATGTTCACGCTTGGGCCGAATAAGCCTCTGAATTCAGAGCGCCGTTCGTGGATATCACGATTGGCCAATACAAAGACTTCGAATTCGGAGTGCCTTTCGTGCATGTTCACATTTGGGCCGAATAAGTCTCCGAATTCGGAGCACCCTGCGTGAATATCACGATTGGCCAACATAAAGACTCTGAATTCGGAGCGCCCTTCGTGCATGGTCACGTTTGGGCTGAATAAGCCTCCGAATTCAGAGCGCCCTTCGTGGATATCATGATTGGCAAACACAAAGACTCCAAATTTGGAGTGCCCTTCGTGCATGTTCACGTTTGGGTCGAATAAGCCTCCGAATTCAGAGCGCCCTTCGTGGATGTCATGATTGGCCATAAAAAAGACTCCGGATTTGGAGCTCCCTTCGTGCATATTCACGTTTGGACCGAATAAGCCTCCGAATTTGGAGCGCCCTTCATGGATATCATGATTGGCCATAAGACTCTAAATTCGGAGTGCCTTACGTGCATACTCATGTTTGGGCCGAAAAAGCATCTGAACTTGGAGCACCCTTCGTGCATGTTCAGGTTTGGGCCGAATAAGTCTTCGAATTCGAAGCACCCTTCGTAGACATCACAATTGGGCCGAATAAACTTCCAAATTCGGAGCACCCTTCGTGGATGTCACAATTGGCCATAAATAAGACTCTAGATGGTCTTCTCAATGTCTATCTTTCGGCTGTCAAAAAAGCGTTATTAATATGCCCTTGTTCTTATTGCCTCTTTTGCGAACATGCTTGCCATATCTCGATCAGTTATGGCATGATCAACCAGGCATTGGTTTACCCTGTCCGTCATAATTGGGTTCGTTTGACCAGCCGACTGCGTCTCGGAAGCCTTGGCCTTTCTCAGCTCATTCTTGGCCTTCTCTGCGTGGTGTTCCAAGCTATGAATGCGGCCATCTTTCTGTTCTATCTTTCTTCGCGTGGCACGACGGCGCATGCTGATCTTATAGGAGGTGTATAGTCCTTTAACTGCTCCATGGACGCCCTTTCAAAAACTTTCGTAATCAGGTATAGCTCAGCTTTTTCACGCCCCCTTTCGGAAGTTTGAAAGAAAGCCCTACAGTTCGGACTCCTGTGGCTCTGAATCTAATCTCACAAGTGCAATGTGAAATTGATAAACACCACAGAGTCCAAATCCGGCAAATTGTTTTGGAAAATTGATTTTGAATCAAAAATGCTAAAATTGGACTACTTTGCCAGATATAGAGTCGCCACCTAAATATTTTGTTTTGGGGAAATTTAGGAAACCCATGACTCATGCCAAATGCCACGTGTCCGTCATCACCAAAGTTGCCATGGCTCGGGAACTTAGGTACGAGAGGGGAATGTCATAAATTAAGCACTCCCGCTCGCCCGATCAAAGATCGACCTTTACTAATCATGATATGATTTTTTTTATCAACATTATGTGCTCTTATTCCGGTTATTAGGCTAGCATTACTATGTGATGCACGCAAGCAAGTATAGACTAAAATTGCAAGAATCAGAATAATTCTATTTCATGTTTGTTTGTGAAAAGGGTTTGAATTTTCTGCCTCGAGTGGGCTTAAAGTTTGCGAATTTGTCACTCAACAAAGTGGGCTTAAAGTTGTGAATTTGCCACTAGACATTATGGGCTTAAACATACATTCGTTGAATCGTTCTAATTCAAACAACAAGCCTTTATCCACAGGCATTGAAACAGTTCATCACTTAAGCATTTAGCCTCATTGCAAGTATGCTAGTCATGGCATTCACTCACACTCATGCAAGTATGCTAAAGCACTACAAACTCATCTAGTACTCCAAGCTAAGAAGATATGAGTTAGAAAAATATGCATGATTCCTAACTATGCAAAATGTCTAATGTAACACATGCAAAGAATGCAATTAATAGGCTCGGCTACTAATATGGCATATGGATCAATTTTGATAACATGCGGTTAAACACGTATTCAAAGAAGCATGGAAATAACAATGCAGTTAGAATGATGTGTCGAGCCTCGGTGCATGCAATACAAATGAATGGATGCAAGCATAAAAGATAAGGTATGCTAATTGAAACATGTCCCTAATCTAACCATCAAAAGCGGGTAAATAAAAAGGAGAAAGACGTGGGGTTGGAAAACATGCACATTATTACATTACGCTCTCACGAAGGAGAGTCCGAATGAATAAACTAACTAACCAAGCTAAGCTAAGCTAATTAAGTTAATTATTACAAAACTTGAATAAATAGCTAAACTAATTAACTAATTATTTTGACACTTGAAATGAGTAATTAACTAACTATCTAAGCTAATTAATTAAAAGAAATTAACTAGGCTAAGCTA